TTTAATACTTTAAAAACCACTGCCCTAAGGTATAGAGTGGGCACATGGCTGTCAGTCATGTATTGTCTGCCAAGTCATATCCAGCTAGAAAGCAACTTCATTCTACTTTCTGAAAGAAGGAGACAAAAGTTCTAGGGGAAGATGAAATAAATAAATAAATGAACAGATAAGCATAAAAAAAAATCTCTTATTCAATTAACACAGCATTTACTTCCAAGCCTTGACATTATAAAACAAAACATTTATCATCACCTTTGTGAAGGGTTTCTATTTGCCTCTTCAACAAAATCCTGAGCCCGAATGAAAACCTTTGAATAACCCATTACCCATGTTTACGGTTCAATAAAAACTAACAAGTAAAATCCTTGATTAAAGCACACTTACGTGGGAAGTTAGCGTGATGGAAGGCAAACACAGGTTTAGGACAAACATCCCCCCCTCTCACTGTAATTTCTTTCTTTCGGCGTAGTTCATCAACCTCATACTACGGAAGAAAACAAAGTAAAACAAGTAAGTGAACAAAGTTATTCTAAACATGCAAAACTTTACTTGCCAATCAAGCTCAACGATTATCATCTATTCCACGATTACACTGGAAAATATATCTAACACTTCTAACAGCTCTTTCGCATACATTCAACGTCACCCAATTTGTAAGGATCCTCCCAACTTTGTGCGTCCAGGAAGTGATAATGGTAAGAGTTCCATTTTCCCCATGAGAAAACGAGACACTTCAAAATATTAAGTAACGTGCCCAAGGTCAGAAGTAGGAAGGAGAAACAGTGGAACTTGGAACCAAATGCTCTTTCCATTACACCTTCTTCTGAACAAGTAACCATTTCATGAGTAGAGTCCAAAACAATCACAATGAGGTTAAAAAAAAGACAAACAGAAGTAGATTTATACCAATGTTTTATTTTTTTAATTTATGTTTTCAAGTTTATCGAGACAGCACACACAAGAGTCTAAGTGGGGGGAGGGGCAGAGAGCGAGAATCCCAAGCAGGCTCCATGCTGTCAGCACAGAGCCTGACACGGGGCTTGAACTCACCAATGGTTAAGATCATGACCTGAGGTGAAATCAACAGTCAGACAACTTAACTGACTGAGACAGCCAAGTGCCCCTATATTTATGCCAATGTTTTAATTTTAACTTCAGAGATGAAAAAACATGAACCTCCTATACAGTTAAAATCTCCTACATGACCAATTGGGAAGTATACCAATAAATGAAAACCAAACAAATAAGAATCTAGGTACTACACTAGAATAAAACAAGTAATAGCAGTGTGAGTCAAGACTGCCTAATATGTCAACTTAGTTCATTACTGTGTATACAAAAAAGGTGAAATAAACCCCCAAAACTTACCGGAGTCAGCCTTGCCACTTCCGGATGCTCTACATAAAAATTCTTCTCAAACTTGGGGAGCTCACTCAAATCCCACTTCTTTTTACGTAAACGTTCCCCGGGATTACCAAATTTCTTCGGGGGAAGGCCACCGCCACCTCTTGCTCCAAATCTAGAAGCACCAAAATTTTTACTTTACTGAATATTTACTTATGAGGGTGGCACCTTAGGTGCCATAAAAAACAAGCAAAAAACTCTTCTCTTAGGATACTACCAGGCCCCTCCAAGAATATGTTTTTCTTACTCAAAGGTATGGAGGAAAAGGGTTCATAAAACTTCCTTTACTAATATTGTTACAGGTATGGTTACGAGGAGTGAAAAATTAAAAACTCTTTTATGTTTACAGATATGTATCATAGGGATTACAACCAGATTCTGGAATCACTGAAAAGGCTTGAATTTTGATTCTACTACTTAAGATGTTGTTTTGAACAATTTAGCTTCTCTGTACCCGTTTCTTATGTAAGTGGAAATACTACTACCACCACCTATTTCAGAGAGCGCTATGAAGATGAAACGAAAGTGTGAGAAGTATTAAAAAAAAGTATCTGGCACAGTATTCAATCAAACATAGTATTCAAGTTAGCGTAACTGTATTCATTCAACAAAGTTACTGTACCAGGTACTGTTTTAAGCGGTTCCTGGAGATATTAAACTGAATAAAACAGAGATTCTCTACTCTCGTGTAACAATCAGACACGTAGGCAAAGGAAGACATTAGTTTATGTTTAAATTCAAGGCAAGCAGGTGGACAGGTAGAAAGATCCACTTGAAGCAAGTCGCCCCATACCTGCAACAGTTTCGTGGACTCCTTATCCGAAACTGTGATAAGTACTCCTGTTGTCTGCTAAGCTAAGGAAAACTACCAGGGCCCCTGTAAGACCAGGAGGCTACTCTTCACCTTTAGTTAATGCTAATGAATAGCCAGAAATGATTTATGACCTCTCCTTCCTCTTAACTGCCACCTTTACCTTCTCCTCTTTGTTCCCAGGGAAATAGTACTGTTAACTATAAATGTGCCGAAGAAAACACTACTGAGTCTTATTTAAGTTTTTCTTTTTTGTCTTTTTTTATTTAGTAACCTCTATGCCCAACATGGGGCTCGAACTCACAATCCCAAGATCAAGAATCACATGCTCCACTGACTGAGCCAGACAGGAACCCCTTACTTAGGGTTTTAAAAACTCAAACAGATTTAAGGCCAACCTTTGTTTTATCCAACATTCATAACAGACAAGTTCAACTGGAATACAAATATGACCACTAGGCCAACTTGCAATGTCCTACTCTTCTTAGACCACAAAGATGATCTTCATTTCTGTATTTCAACCTATTGGAAGTGTGGGCCATTGTTTTGAATACAAGTAGTATACACTTACATGATGTTTCCATTCCATTTCTTTACCTCCCAAAATACTATACTGAATTTAACTTCCCCTTTCCACTCTAACCCACTCACAACATCATCTTGCAGATGGTTCCACATCACAACTGACAGGCAGTAGCTGTATTATTTTAAAGGGCTTCAATTTCCTAGAATTCAAAGTGTTCCTAAAACTTACCCAACTAGATAGTTCTCTAAATACAAAGACTGACCGCAGGAAATTTTCTTGGGACCACTGAGTACCTACACTCAACAGGCAGAACTTGACAGATTCCATGTATACTACTGAACTGTTAACAGAAATCAGGAATCAAAACTGAAGCAAGTTACAAAGCTACATATATCGAAGACATAGGATCAATGACTTCTTCAACTTGCCCTCAGGCCCAAAGGTCAATAGATCAAAGACCACCTGGGTCAACTTTCCTCCCTATAAAGGAAGCAACAGTTCTAATTAAGTAGGTAAGTCAAGTATTTTGATTGTCAGGTTTGCAAAGAATTATAGTACCAATTTTGAGAGACTATCAGCCTAGTTTATACTATTTTTTGAGACTGTCAGCCTAGTTTATACTATTACTAATTTATGTAGTTCCTACGTGCTCTTTCAATGCTGCTGCATTCCAATGCTGTCCAGACCTTAAACTAGTGATCTACAAGAGAACTTTGGAAAGTCAGGTTCCTTTAAAGTCTTATTCAGAGGAAGAGGTTTTTTCCCCCGTATCATCTTGACTATTTCATTCTCCAAGACATACTACTCTATACTACAAATATATTTTGAAACACGGGATTCTTCAAAAATATGCTGCACCTTTATAAAGCTAACCCAAATAAGATAGCCTTTCACTTTCACAGAATTTTTGAGCACATATCCTAATCCCTGACATACCATACTGTTCATTAATGTCTTGATTGCATATTAAGTTTGACTTTGCAATAAATGCAGCTCTTAAGATTCAGCAACATCATGCCAGTTTAAATTTACAATGTATAAAATGTTCAAATAATCCATTGTTCAAACTAATAATCCATTTCAGCTGTTAACACTCAGTTAAGAAAAATAGCAATTTAAATCGTAAATGAAATTTCATGGTAAAGGTAGAAGACACAGACATTATGAAAAAGTGTCATTTTGTTGATATGAACCACTTTTAAAGCCTAAAATGTCATCTGATAGTCAATATGGGATAAAGTAGGGATCAGTAATTCACTTTTTCCTCTTTTAAAATAATTTATTTTTATTGTTACAGCATATATACGGTGAAATTAAGTATTAAACCAAACACCCACAGTAAAGAGGACATTATCAGTACCTTGGCAGCTCCCTGTGCCCATTTCAAGTTCACAAACCCCCTAACAACCATCTCAAATTTTGCTTAATAGTTTTGTCATATATGTCTTTATAGCTATTATCCTTTTACCACGATTTTTTTACTTAATGTTTGTGAGTCATCCATGTTGATGTTAAGTTTTTTCTTTTCACTGTTGTGTTGTATTCTACTTGTATAAATACCCACACTTTATCCAGACATACACAGGAGCTGCGTCCACTATTAACATGAACAATGCTGGTATAAACGTTTTTGTATACAAATGCTGGGGAAGGTGTACGAGGTTTCTCTGCATTTGAATGTCTACAGTATAAAGCTCAAGAGGGGAATTACTTGGTCATTTTCACATTTCCTAGCTAACCTCAAATTCCCTTTCCTAAATGGTTGCACAGAAACTCACTCACTTCTAAATTTAGCTATACTGTGAAACACTAAGCAAACATTCCACTTCTAGCCCTCCAAATTTAACACTAAGATCAAATATTTTCCTTCCTAACAATGCATAAATAATGTTTTATTTTGCAACTCAAATGATAACTGAAGTGCTTGTGACTAGTCTGTCTGGGACGTGTGTATCTGAACCACAAAAAACAAAAATGTTTGAAGAAAACATCAAGTAACAGAACACCCTACTACAAAGAGGCAATTTCACATGGCATCTTAATTCCAGAGAACAATGCAAAGTAAAGGCAAGCGTTATGCCCATCTTCAGTTGAGAAAACAGGCTCACAAAGGTCCAGGATCTTGCCCAAGGTCACATATATGTTAATAAGTGGCGTTCCATTACTTTTTATCCAGAGGTTAAGACTTTTATTACATAAAAGTAACAGCACAAACCAACACGGAGCTCTTAAGCAACTTCTTCTTTTTACGGATTTTAAGTTGAATCTCGTTATCTGCGAAGACGTCGGGCCTAATTTTATTAACTTTCAACCCAGGAACCGTGGCACTACCCCACCAAAAACTTTCTGGCTAGGCCGCGAAGCTAATACCCGACACCAAGCGGAGAAAAAGAGACCGAAACACGGGGGGGG